TTATAGTTATTAAGCTCTTTGTATTTTAAGTTGTAGTTGTAGCCGCTTTTTTCTAATGCACGTTGATATTCAGGTGATGCTTTATCAAATGATTCTTTGTTTGAGGAAAGTTCATTAAGTCTTTTCTTGGTGGCTAGAGGGATGATTTTAATAATGCTTGGTGGATGGTTGCTCTCGTTGTGAATATATAAAGGTTTGTTATTAGGTTTAAGATACGGCTCATGGGCTCCTTTGTTGAGGTGTAAGGTTACATCCAGATAATTGACGATCTTTTTGTTGGCTTCAATTGATATTTTCAAGCCATTATCTTTGAAGACTTTGCAAATCTGTTTCTTGATTTTTTCAAGGCATTGGGGTGAATTTTCAAATGCTCCTAGGCCATCATCTCTATATAGACCGAATTGATTTCTGATAGTCTTAGGAAGTTGATGCAATAAGTACGATCCAACCAGTTCGCAAGTTTCTGCGCCATCAAACGAGCCCATGTTTACGCGATAATGTCATTTACCAGGCTACTGTCAAAACCAATGACGCAAAGGAGACATATATTGGCCTTACTGGTGATCAGTTCAAAACACGTTATAACAATCATACATGCTCATTCCGAGATAATAACAAGAGAAACTCGACAGAGCTAAGTAAATACATTTGGTCCCTAAAGGATAATAACATCAGATACGCTATAGATTGGAAAATAATGGCTCGCGCAAGCTCGTATTCAAATATCGGGAAAAAATGTAATTTATGCATAATGGAAAAGTACTTCATTATTTGTAAACCCGAGTATTGTACTCTTAACAAAAGAAACGAACTGACTAGTGCATGCCGGCATGCAAATAAGTTTTTAATTAAGAATGGATAGGTATCACACCACTATGAACGATCGGTACACGGGATATTCCAATTCAATCTGAACACGCACCTGAAGAGAGAGGAGCTTTAATAGGCCTCTCGAAACAGAACTGTAGTGCTTTAAATTTTTAATGAACAATTTTTAGGTTTTAATCTCCAATTCATTTCAAATTTTAACCTAGCTCCACTTTAGTGTAGAGCACTAAACGGCAGAAGGAGAAAACCAAATTGTATATATATATATATATATATATATTAATATCACCTTATGCGAAGGTGGAAGAGCTAGAGCATTGGGCTATAGCAAACCATAGATCGCGGGTTCGATTCTCACCATGGTCAAGCTAATTTTTCAGCTTACCCGGTTGGTGACTCAGGTTAGCATCATCACATTATTCTTTTCATGTTTACACTTGAGTCTTATGCAGTATTAATCCAAAAAAATGTTTATAAAAACTGCATAGTTTTTCTTTTATTCTGAAGATCACAAGAAAATCTAATGTTCAGATTTAAAAAGGATGCGTAAAATTATCTTAACATTTTGAAAGTGCAATTTCCCGTGGCAATTACAGTATTTTGCCACCGTAACCAGCCTCATGTTTTGTTTTATGGATTGGATTTTGATGGATTGCTTCAAATTGCGGCCCATGTGTAAACAGAACTGAATCAGCAATTTGAATTGCAAATGCTCTTCAAAACTCGTCGAGTAGAAGAAACCAAGCTGTTTTTCGTTGACAACAGACACATATTCAGAAAGTTTATAAAATAAATGATATCTGAAGGTAAATATCTATCTGTAAACGGATGATCTGTTTAGACCGGTTTAAAAAATCTTACCTTTTAAAATATGCCCATCCTCAACACCGAGTTGAATAGAGCCTTGTGAGACAACAATCTCTTTCTCGTTTCTTTCCACTATTGTTATCTGGAATGATTTTTCTTCACTAAAGGATTTTCCAGGCTGAAGACGCGTTCTAATCCTGTGCGAATCATTGTTGGATATGGTCAGGAGTTTTTCAAAGCTAATGCTCCGTATTTCGGGAGTTGATTGTGGAGATAAATGCAACGACATTGCAGCTATCATCTCGATATAAACAGCTGCAGGCATCACTGGGTTCGATGATTGTGAAAATTTGTGATCCTTGATGTAGGGAACATCGTGCAAATTGATTTCAGATTCCCAAGCTTCTAAACCAGTAAATGTTTCTGTCGGTACAGTTTTACCAAGAAGGGGATGGATAGTGGCAGTTGTAGTAGTTTGTTCATCAGTGTTTCGCTGATCAAGGAATGTAACGAATTCAGGCGGATGGGCATTGCGGTACCAAAACTCTTTTTCTTGCCATGGATATGTCGGACGGGGGAAAAAGGTTTTCGATCCTGAGCCTTGTACTTTATTCCATGATAACGACACACCATTTACAAAGAGACGAGCAACACAATTTTGAAGAAATGATAAGTGCTGGTTATTGACTGACCGCTTTGGCAGAGTTTGAACCACAACGACGTCATTTGACTGCAGGGAGCCAGACGCTTGAGACGCTTGATTGCGGGACCAGGTTTCACGAACATGGTACGAAAGCTGAGGCGCTGCATTAATTTCAAGAAAGAACTGGTGACCATCAGAAAACATATTTTTTAATACAGGCTCTAGTAGAACCGTTTGACGGATGTTACGCCACCAATGCTCGAGTGATAAAAGCTGACCAGATAGTTGGGCGCCGGTAACAGTTGAATAAAATGGTATATTGCTTTGCGTCTGATTGACATTGAATTTACTTGTGAGTTTGAAATATGCTTGCTTTATTTCATCCATTTCTCGGCTATGATATGCTCGTGTTGTGGTAAGTTTCTTCCAAAATATTTCTCCTCTTTGATTGGATACGTGGTTTTCAACAAGATCTACAGACAATTTGTTACCAGATAGCACAACATTACCAGGGCTATTGACGACTGCAACATCAACTTCGTTTCCAAGAAGATCTTGCAGCATACGTCGAGCTTCTTCCTCTGCCATCCCAATGGCAGCCATACAGCCTGTTGGGGAACATTTCTCGTGAAGTTGGGAGCGGAACAGAACCAACTGCAAAGCTTTACTCAAAGGCAATGCTCCAGATGCCCAAGCTGCTGATATTTCTCCAAGGCTGTGACCAACTACAGCGGACGGTCTAACACCCCAAGAATCCAGCAGCTCAGTTAAAGCAAAATGTATGGCAAACAGTGCCGTCTGTCCAATTTGGTTTTCATGAAGTCGGGAGGCTTCTTCGGGTTTATTGAGCTCAGTAATCAAGGACCAGGGAGCATTGTGTTTTTTCAGGAGTGCGTCAATCTCTGCAATGCTTTCCTTAAATTTTGGCTCATGGACCAACATTTCTTTTGCCATGCCATGCCACTGAGCCCCTTGACCACCGTAGAGGAATACGACACTTTTAGGTACTTTAGCAACGTTGCCGGTAGCCACTAATTCTTCCCATCCATTTGTCTGACTGGAAAACATCTCTAGGGCTTTTGCTGCATTTTTGATAGAATAAAAGCTGACCGCTAAGCGATGGGGCAGTATTGTGTACCTTTCATTTAGGGAATAACAAATATCGTCCTTAAGAAGTTCATCGTCATCAGGCTTTAACATAAGCGATTGGGACATCTTCCCGGCCATTGCCCTCAATGCATCTTTCGACGCCGCAGATAGTGTCAGAACTTTGTTAAATGAAGATCTGTTTGGAATTGTAATGACAGGCTTCTTAGTAACTTCTCTGACGATAGCATGAGCATTTGTTCCACCGAAGCCGTACGAGGAGATCGCAGCAGCTCTCGGTTTGTCTTCTTCAGTTTTCCAAGGTTCATTACATGCTTGAACAACCATTTTTCGCTCGCGCATTTTAAGCTGAGGCTTCAATTGATGCACGTTAATTGTCGGGACAAATCGAGCATGTTTTATCATCAAACATACTTTTATCAATCCGGCTAATCCTGCTGTTGACTCCGTATGGTTTACGTTTGATTTAACTGATCCTACACGAAGTACTCTTCCACTACTGTTTCCATAAACTTCGGATAATGAGCCCATTTCGACGACGTCTCCAACAGCTGTACCAGTACCATGTGCTTCCACATAACTTATATCGTCTTTAGACAAACCAGATTCTTGAAGAACTCTTTCGAAACAAGCGGCTTGTGTTGCCTCACTAGGTGCTGTCATTGGGATTGCCGTTTGACCATCGTTATTCGTACCACACGCTACAACTTCCGCATAAATGTTATCTCTATCATCCAAAGCGTTTTGAGTTGGTTTCAAAATGATGGCAGCTACACCTTCGCCCCGCCCATATCCGTCTCCTTTTATGTCAAAACTTTTGCAACGTCCATCTTCGGCTAATAATCCAGTCCTGCAGCATGCCGTATGGAATTTGTTTCCAACCAGAAGAATATTTGGCGCACATACTATCGCAGCGTCGCATTCACCATTTTGTATGTGTGCATATGCTACATCTAAAGCAACGAGAGAAGATGAGCAGGCTGTATCCATCGTTAAACTTGGACCGTTAAGTTCAAGGAAAAAGATATACGGTTTGACAAAACTGACAAAGCACAGCCAGTCGACGAGAATTGATCAATTTTTCGAATATTTGACGGAGCCATAACAAGAGAGCCGTATTCTATATTCATCGATCCAACGTAAACACCAGTTCGACATTGTTGTAAATCTTCTAGACGTATGCCAGCATCCTCAATTGCTTCATAAACAACTTGGAGAAGTATTCGCTGTTGCGGATCCATTGACCGACACTCGCTTGGGGATATTCCAAAAAAATGGGCGTCGAATCCTGTAATTTTATCAAGAAAAGCACCAGTAAGGACATAATGTTTTCCTGGCGTGTGTTTTCCTGTATTAAAGGAATCGGTAAACTCTCTCGCATCTGGCCTGTTCGTTGGATAAGTGCCAATACCACATCTACCCTCTGCTATCATATCCCAAAAGGCATCTTTTGAGTTTGCACCACCGGGGAAGCGGCAACTGATTCCGACAATTGCAATAGGATTAGGCGTTTCAGTTTTAGCAACTGATTTAGAAAAACTCAGGTTTTTAATTTTTCTGAATTCGCGTCTCTTTGTACGGTTGAACCATTTCGTAATAAAAGAGTCAATGTTTTCTACGCGGAAGTCAAATATCTTTCCTAGTAGGGTCAGGTAAACAGGTAATATAACTAAGCCATGAAGCAAACCAAGAATAACGATACCAACAAACATTTTGAAAAATGTTTGAAATACTGTGGAGGAAGTGAATCCCGTTGGCATCATTCCAAGGAATGTACTAAGCCCTCCTAGGAAAACACTACCGCCAACTGTGTGTAGAGCATCGATGACACGAAGTTCAGGCGTGGTAGCCTTAGAGGAAACAAAGTGAAAAGCGACGTGTGCGTTGTAGTCTACAGAAAATCCCAAAGCCATAATAAGGTTTATCATAGAGATTGAGTTTAACGAGACATTCCATATGTACATCAGGCCAAGTAGTTCAAATATAAGAGCAACAAATCCCCATATGAGACAAAATATTATTACAAAGTGATTAAGAAACAAGCACGATATCAAAATAATTGAAATTCCGGCGACGATCAAGTTCCTAATGGTTTCATCAAGTACACGTGCATACTGTTCAAAGTATATGAACGGCAGAGCAACGGCAAAAGCATGAACATTCGAGGAATGGAGGAGATCTTTTCGAATGCTGGCCATCATATTTCTCTGAAAGGTTGAGTCAGGGTCACTTCTAGAATAAACTAAGATCCTTGAAGCTTTCAAATGTGTTTTATCTTCAGAAAATTTGAGATCCTGGGCGAATCTTTGATACTTCGGAATTGAAATAAATTCTTGCAAGTAGGCATGGAATATTCTGGTATTGTTAATCTCGATGTTTCTTTTTTGTGCCCAAGATATATATTCAGATAACCATGATATGCTTCCTGTGTCGAAATATTCATTATTTTCAACAAGATTCTCCACATAAGAGTATGTTTTTTTAATTTCGTTGCTCGACTGATCAGCCTGTGCTGTAAAGATAATACTGACTTCGATATTAAGATGAAAGTTTTCTTCATAAACTTTTAGAAATTCCCGGTAATGCGAATCTTCAGTTGTCAACAGCTTTCTGTTGAAGCTCTCGTCAATGCTACGAGCGCCATAAATCCCAAAAGAAAGGAGAAGTAGTGAACTCAAAAAGATAATGGTTTTGCCAGCGGGTGACACTATTTTTTTCCCCCATGCTTTCATAACGTTGTCAAGTCCACTTCTCCGGATTCCTGAGCAACAATCAGTTGGGGGAGGACTCATTAACCAAGGCAAAAAATCCCGGCGTCCAGCGTTGATTCTTTTAATATCAAACCACATACAACCAACGAAAAATGTTAGCAGCAGAACAAAAACAGATGAAATTGCTAGAGCTGCGTATGTGCAGAAAATACGAATAGAAGGGAAGATGGAGCGACAGCTCACGGCAAATGCTACGAGATCTGTAAGAGTTGTCATAGTAATAGTTGGACCGCTTCTAGCCATTGTCCCACTAAGAATATGATTTGCAGGTATATCTTGACGGATCATTTCATTAAGTTCGTGTAGGATAATGAACACATCGTCAATGCCAATGCTAACAACCAAAAATGGTAGAACACCGACCATACTGATAAAAGGAACACCGACCAACATTAAGAAACCAAGCGAGCTAGTGACCCCTAGATATATGGACAACAAGGCACTAAATCCTAACAATTGATGGCCGTAACGAGCATCTGCGCATCTTCCATTCACAACGCCACTAAGAATTCCCATGATCACAAATGTTACGGCAAAAAACTTAATATCAGAACCAGTACTTTCCTCAACTGAGTCGTCCAGGCTTCTTTCTGCTGCATAAAAGACATTCGCACACGTAGTATTTTTCGAAAAAGATGATACTTTATTCAAAAATATCTCTTCCCACTCCAAGATGCCTTCCCTTCTCTCTTCTCCTCTGTCATGCTCTTTCATAAAGTAAACTATTCTCAGTGCGTTTGTGGAATTAATTGAATTAATAGAAGCAGTGTTTCCAAAAATTTGATTAAAATTATCCAAAAGTCTTCTTCCGTTCGACATAAGAAAAGCATCATTCTGGATTATGGTCTCGATACGTCGTAAAATATTGCTAACTAAATTTTTCTTTTGAAAACCAAAAGCTTCCAATATGTTTGTTGAGGCACAACTGCTATTAGAGTTTGGTCTAAAACAGTATTCGTCGTAATTCTCTATCCCTGTGATAATGTTGTGTAAATCAGTCATTTCCGCCAAACATTCTTGCGACAGGACAGACTTCCCAGGTTTAGGCAAGACAATAACTTCTTCTTGTCGCACTTCCAGTTCAAAGCCTAGACTTCTTGCTCTTCGTATATCCTGTGATGCTTCACTGTTTTCTGGTAGGTACAAAAACTTCACACTTTTTTCGACTTTTAATTTCCCAAAGCCACCCGTTAGAGCAATAGTGACAAAAAGACAACACAACGTCACGAGAAATGGCCGTCGAGAAATAAATATAGCAGATATTTCAAAGAGTTTTTCAAGAAATATGATAAAAAGCTGGTGTAATAAAGCCCATTTCTGTAGAAGTGCCGCTCTGAAACAAAAGCGTGTCCGTTCCTTAGAGGGGCATTCTTCTTCACTGTTATTGGCGTTGCTGTTAGCTCGCAAACTGCAGCTATTATAAAATAATAAAAAGAAAGTAAATGTTGAAATAAGTCTTCACATCTGAATTGAATTGATTATCAACTAAATACAGTAGTCTCTCGCTAACTCGAACTCGCAAGAGGAAAGAAAAATTGTTCGAGTTACCGGGGGTTCGAGTTAACTGGAGTTGGTGTCAGATTACGTTTATTATATAAGTAATACAATAAGATATAAAATCCAATCGAATCATTCTTCAAGGGATACCAGGCCTCCCAATATGAATGGTCAGCGACAGTGGACGACGTTTTAAAATTAAAAAGATCGAAAGAATACAAAAGGAACTAAAATAGTTAGATCAATAACGACCGTAGCACCACACAAAATCTTTTAAAATTTATAAGCATTTATATACAATTATACACTGATTAACTTGTTGTTATTTTGATAGTTTCCAGTTGTCAAAATTCTATCTTCTCACATTTTAAAGTTTGCTGATCTATGATTCGAAACCAAAGTTCGAGTTAACCGGATATATTTGACCAAGGGGAAACAAAATTTGTTCGAATTAGCGAGGAGTTCGAATTAAGCGAGTTCGAGTTAAGCGGAGTAAATTACTATAAAAAACACTATCAAATTCAAGGGGAATTGGATTTAGTTCGAGTTAGCGAGGAGTTCGAGTTAAGCGAGCTCGAGTTAGCGGGGGACTACTGTAGTAACTATGAAAGCTAATTAAATTTGCGTTTAGGTGCGGTTGCATGCAAAGAAGACACTTGAATCAGGGTTATATTGGCCCAAGCAGCCACGAGGTTACAAATATACAATAATACACAAACTTAAAATACAAATATACAAACTTAAAATCACCGTTGGCCGAGACCTTTCTTACTGTCTACCAACCGTTTCGTCATTTAGTCAATGCAACATTCAGATTTTATAGCTCTCTAAAGTTGCGATTTTTGGAACTTCCAACTTCCAACTTCCAACTTTTAGAACTTCAAAACCTGTAATTGGGATAAACTATCAGCTAAAACGTTCTTAACCCACGGAACATGGCAAGTGCAAAATAAAATATTACACTTCAGACATGCCACCACCAGTCGGCGCACAAATAACATAACCGTCACGTCACGAGAAGTCGCTTTATTTATAATATCAACCAATGCCGCATTATCCGTATAAAACGTGATCCGCTTATTACGCATCTTAATTATCTCCCCATACAAGAACACTAAGAACAATTGGGTAGAATTCTAAAATAGTTATATTAAGTTGCTTCCAGTTTTCAGGCGACGGGCAAAAAAAACCACTCGCAACCAAAGACTGCACCGTAACCCAAACTACCAGCTACGTCAGTGTATATAGGTTTAAACTGAGCGAATCAGTCCATACATCGCTAAGAAAAAACGATCGGCCGTTAAAATCATGTAAAAAAGAACGTCAAATGTCTATTTGGTAAGACGGGTGAAATGATGCGCGGGTTTTATTCCCTTCGTTTAATCGATCAGACGACGCACGAAAGCCCGCCCGGGGACAACGACTGAGCATGCAAAATTAAGTAAATCGTTTACATTTTTCAGTTCTGTTAAACGGCAAACGGGCGTCCATGCGCAAAGTATCTAATTCAATGCCTGCAAAAGAAAGGACATTTTTTGGACCGACTGTTTTCTCTGGCGCCATTGGTACGCCTAAGTAATCGCAGAGAGATAAGAAAACATTCATTCATTCATTCATTCAAACTTTATTTACACACACAAAATCTTTTCAACAATAAAGCTGGTTTTCAAAAGAGGTGTGTACTAAGTTTACAAAATGAAATCCCACCCACCCCCTTAATCTATCTACAATATACGTACAATACTTATAAACATATAATATAAACATGAAAGTGTAAACTATATACGAAATTAATAGATAAAAAGTGTACTTTTAAAAATTAATTTACACATGAGGATTTATAAATGGAAACGTCGAGGAAGAAAGAAAGCTTTTCACAAAATGAGTTATAAGATGACAACGTTCTTATGTCCTCCGGAATTTGGTTCCAGACATAACCACCGTTGTAGCTAAAACGTTTTTTCAAGTAATCCGTCCTGGTCTTGGGAAGACATAACCTAGTTGAGGACCCTCTCAAATCAAAATCATGCATCGTATTAGAATGTTGAAATAGATCTCCCAATCTTCGAGGAGCTAGATTGTTAAAGTGGAAGTCAAGTCCGTTCTGCGCATAGGTTCTGCACATAACAAGTGAGGGCCCTCTGATATGAAAATTGCCTAAATTCCGCATGTTTCTTATTTTTTCTAAACATAAACTCTAGTTCATATTAATCTAAAAGCGTAACGAGCCTTAATAATGTTAGGTATTCAGACAGCACATCGTATTTTAAAAAATAGTGAAGTTCAAAATGTAAACAAACCGTTTTTTACATACGGATTTGACTCATTTTTAGGGCAAAGTTTCAGAAACTTTGCAGTATTGTGATGAGTGGCAAAAATTCAAACGAGTCAGTAAGTCAGTCAGTCATAGTGTAAACTTTACGGGCGTTAAGCTGATTTATGCGTATAGTAACTTTTTGTACATGATCATGATCAGTTTTTTAAAGTTTTCAAATCAGTTTAGCTTGCTTTAGTTACTAATGCAATATCGCTTTTGCTAAGTTCACAAAAATATTGAGGTATTTTGACCATTATACTGTAAATTTTGAATCATTGCTTTTTCGTGGTTTGGGTTTTGTTTTAAAGGGATTTGCGCAGATTTACCCCCCGGAACACCCGATTTTTTCTTATACGTCGCAGCTGCGCATGTGCCGTCGAGCCTTGAGGCTGGAACATTATTCACGATGTAAAGAAACGAGGAGCGACGAGCATTGCTTCAAAACATTTCGGGCGTAAAAATCGAGCAATTCTTTTAGAATCTACGCAATTTATCAACTTATGTTATGAATTACGAGCATTCAATTCAACACAAATATAATTTGGAAAGTTTATTCCATAAATAGAGCTAAGAGGCTAGGAAGAAACGACGCTGTGTTGTTTATGTATTGATCGATCTCTTACACGAATATATATTATGTCGATAGCAAGTCGATACCTGGTATTCTGAGAGCTCTCAACTGCGACCATCTGGAACAAATTGCTCAAATACAAAGGAATAAAGTCGCTTCGCGCGAAAAATATCGCTGGTGGAAAACCGGCTTTAGCAACCCATTCGCATCATCGACACGCGCATATTCGTACTGACGCATGCTCTGGTGCAATACCGGCATTAACTGAATCCCCTTTCGGAAAAGATAAATGATGAATTAAGCGATATTCCTCTTGCGGTTTCTTGGGAAGTATCCCTAAAGGTGAAACACGAAAATTGGGGAAGGGTGGGCATACAAAAGGCCCGGCAAGTTGACCTGCTGCCAATTCTTTTGAGAGCTTAGCACTGACTATTTCAGGATTTTGTTGTGCAGAAATGAGACTATTCGCAAAAATGATTCACGCTTTTCTTCAAAATGAATAGAAAAACCAAATTTAAAACCATGATACAAAATAGATTTAATAAATGTTTAAGATTTTCAATTTGAACCGGTGTTTGAAGGACGGGGTTTGGCCGAGGGAGGGGCAGAACTAGACGTTTGTAAGGAACGAAAGGGCTGGGTGAACGACACGACACTGATAAGAATTATGTTTATAATTGCAACCAGAACATGCAGCAATCTCCACGGTGAAACTCACGACAAAACCCCTTGGGAACAAAGGGTCTGGCAACAGAGGAGGAGGAATTGTTGCGCACAGGCGGTTGAGCCGGTTTTGAAAAACGCGCATTATGAAAAGTTTGTGTTTGGCCGTAAGAAGGGCAGACTGGCGTTTTTATGACGCGCAATTTCGTCTCTTGCGTCAATTTAACATGGCCGAGCTGCCATAGGGGCCGGTCTACTCATTGGGAACTTTGGATCCGTGCACAAACTTTTAATAATGCGCGTTTTTCAAAACTTTCTCAACCGCCTGTGCGCAACAATCCATCCTCCTCTGTTGCCGCACCCTTTGTTCTCAAGGGCTTTTGTCGTGAGTTTCACCGTGGAGATTATTGATGTCCAATACCCGCGATCGGTGTCCGATGGAGAAATTCATCATACATGTGATACCGATCGATCCGATGAACAACTTGCTTACCGTCGGAAAAAGTTTGTCCGATGGACATATACAGGTAAACAAATACAGCATAACGTCATTTATGATATTCAGGCTATTACAACAGTCCAGCATGAAAACCTGGACCAATATATTTTAAAGCAATTTTTTTTAAAGCAAGTGTCCATTTTTGAAAGACAAACGAGTACGATCGGATCCACGAACAAATCAGTGCTTACGGTCGGATAAAATTTCATCGATAGAAAAATGAGGTCATTTGAAAAGTGAACGGTGAAAAATAAAGAGTCTGGGTAGAGAGATTTGCTATGCCTCAGTGGAAGCTAGTGGAAATGTCAGACGGTCCGATCGATCGATCGGACCCATCGAACAAATGTGCTTACGGTCGGACAAAAATTTTACCGATTAGGAGAACGGTTATTGTTATTTAGTATAAGCAATAAAATATTTGTTAATTTGAGTTGTGCTTTTTTCAGAGGACAGCA